TGACTAGAGTTGCTATAAATATATTTTCATAGTTTTTTTTTTGTTTTTTTTTTTTACTCCAGGGGCTGTCTGGGGGAGGGGGTTTGGGGGGAGCCTGGAGTAATAAGGGCTGAAACCCACTCCATTGAGTTTCACACCCTTGTGTGCCTAGCGGGATTCGAACTCGAGACCTCCTACTAGGCACGGTAACCTCGCAACCAGCTGGGCTGGAATGCTTGGTTATATATTTTCATAGTCATTACGCTAAACAAATTGAACATATTTGTAGTCACTAAAAGTTACTAAATCATTTTTTTTATCCACCATGATTATAATCATATATTAGGAAATATTTATAAATTTATATTCATATATTATATTAAATTTATATTAAAACTAATTGTTTCGGGTTTTATCGGTCCGGGCCGGGTTATAGATTTTAAAGCCCGGAATTTCGGGTTCGGTCCGGGTCTTTTCTAATTCAGGCCGGTTAAAAAGAAAAAACTCAGACCGCGATGATAGTTCTGGTCGGTCCAGGGTCGGTTTCCGGATTTCGGTTCGGGTTTTCCCTGGGCCTGTCAATGGGTCGGGTTGGAACGTAGTGTTCCAGACCCGGACCAGCTAAGTAAATAATGGACCCTGACCCGACCCGTTTACCCGGCGGGTTTGAAAATTTGGACCCAGACCCGGACCCAACGGGTCTCGGAACCGGGTAGACCCGCCATGTATGATACCGTTATAAAATTTTGTGAAAAAACAAGAAATGTATGTGAAATGTAAAGAAAAGTGTGCACACTCTTTGTCTCTTTTTCTCGTACATAGAGTAGCAATTTTTTTGATCGCATAGAGCTAGTAAAATAAACTTCAAATGAAGTGACAAAGATGTCTTGAACTATTGAGAGTATAAAAACATATTGTACAGAGTGTATGGTAATGATATAATATAATACTACCTCCATTCCTAAAAATTCTTCCCCGTTTGACTTGGCACGCTTATTAAGAAAGTGGAAATGTGTGGTTGTGGCTGTGTAAGAAAAAGGTAAAATGAATGTGAGCCACACAAATTGTCCAAAAAGGGAAAGTGGGAAGAATTTTTGGGAACGGCCCAAAAAGGTAAGTGAGAAGTATTTTTGGGAACGGAGGGAGTAATAATAATAATATTAGTAATAACAACAACAACAATAATGATGATGATGAATACTGTGTGTTGCTTACTGATCCCAATACACATTTATCACTATGAATAAACGGCCAAACGGTATTAATTTGTTGCTATCACACTATCTCGATCAGTATCACTTGTATAATAAGTATGTACTAGTGTGTCTTTCTTTATTGAAGAATTACAACTAATAATTTTATGTATTATTATGTATGTGTGTATATTAGTTTGTATTTTTTTAAAGTGTTATAACTAATCGATAAAAAAAAGTGTTATAACTAATCACTTTATGTATTAGTGTGTTTGTATACAAATAAGAAATTCTAAACGGGTTCGGGTCCTTAACGGGTCGGAATCATATGTACCATACCCGACCCGTTTATTAATTATACTAACGGGTCCGGATCCGGGTCTGGGCAAACGGAATAAAATATAGACTCATACCCGTAAAAAAATAACCAGGTCCGGGACAGATACGGGTCTAGATCCGACCCATTGACAAGCCTACTTTTCCCACCCCTAGCCGCCTATTCTTGACTTATTAAAACACCCGTGGTTAAGATCTCTATATTCCACTCTAATCCCCCCATAGATAATTCCGAGTCAAATGAAGAGAACCCACACTGGTGTTATAGAGCACTTTTGTGCATGAAAGAGTAATCTTCTCTTTTTGGGTTTTTATTTAATTTTCCGTTTCAGCCAATTAAGCGTAGCCAATGGACCTTAAGATAGTAATTCTCTTGCTCATTATTTATTTGCTGACTAACATGACTTATTTTAATAGTAAATATATGGTTTTTGACTCTAAAAAAAAGAAGTAAATATATGGTTTTTGCTATTTTCTTCTGTTTTTAAATATGAGCAGGAGAAGTTTGGCCTAAACTTTAACACAGTTTTAGCATTTGACTAACATGATTTATTAGTAATGCAAAATGGTCTATTATTGTGTCCTTAACAGCAGGTTTAAAGTTTTTAGTTAGATTTTTTTAATTCATTGTTCAAAAAAAGGTGGGTTGTCTGTGTTTTATTTTGCAGAATGATAACTGTAGTTTAATATATATTCTGTTAAACACCATAAAGAGTCTAAACACCAAAGGATTATATATGTAAACATTTAATTAAACAACATATGTGCACAACTGCACAACATATCAAATAGAAACAATCAAATGAATGTTGAATGGAACAATGAATGAAGAAATAACTGGATGTATAAATTCACAACAAAGTAAAGAGGCAGAGAGTACCTCTACTACTTGGGTAATGAATCGAAAGTCTCCTAGATTGAGTGAAGAGCCGGGTGCGGTAATCTAGCATACGGAGAGAATCGAGAGTCATTTCTGATGTTTAGCTACATGTGACTGTATTATGTAGTTTCATTGTATTATTTTCTCTTCTAAGTTAATAACTTTATACTCCATATGTTATAACAGACAACATCTTCCCTAATAAACATGCAATTGCAGATTTGCAATTTTCTCATTTGATGGAAAATGATGAGTGAGTTGTAATTTTATTCTCTCTTAGATCATTACTTTATAGATTTGCATCACATGAAAGATGAAGACTAAGGACATATTCTGACATTCTGAGGTCCTTGAAACTAACCTGAAAGTGGAGCATTAGCCATTTAGCCTGTTTGAAGATGTAGATCTCGATTATTGAGCTGACATAATTCTCTTCCATGAATCTATCATACATATCATGCAATTTCAGTTGGCTTTTCTTTCTCCAAATAATGCCACTCTAATATGCAAACGAGTAGTCTGCTGCTAAAAATGCTGAAATCATGTCCAAAACAGGCAATCAGCACTACACAAACCGAAATATTTAAAACTAAAAAATGTTTAAAAAACTAGCAAAAATGACATTTATTAACAATTCTTATAAAGTGAATTCTTAATAATATCTCTAATTGCTAAGTAGAAAATTACCAAATTTCAATCCTGTAACAAAATTTCTTAGTATACATACTCAATTTGATTGTAAGCATCTTCTAAAATGATTTCCTTCAATGTAGTATTGGAGTCATATCTATTGCCACTTGCATTGCCATCTTCTAAAATATTTCTGAGTTGCTTTTAAATAACTTGAAACTCAAATGTCATTTTAACAACTTGGAAGGACAATTGAGAGAACAAATCATTAGTATGTTACCTTTTCATGAATGAACAGTATATCAAAATGTGAATCAACTAAACTAACCCTAAGGAATGAGACTTGTAATGCCATAGTCAGACTTGTAATGTGAAAATTCAAGTTGAATCTTTTTCTGAATATGTGGCTCTCAATAGGTTAAAAAAATACTTATGGGTTGTCATACATAGGTCCAAACTATTTTTATATGTGTAGCCCCCTAATCAAACAACACCTCTATACATTTGTAATATTGAGCTCATAACATATGTGTGTTACCTAACCGCTGTCGTGCAGCTAGGAAGAGGAATAACTGAAGTAGTGTCACCTTTCAAGAAATGAAGTTCTGAAATGAAATATGAGAATATTCAGAAACATACATACTTTATTTTAAGAAACGGTAAGTTAGGAAGGTAGGAAAACAGTCTTGACAGGATTTTAAATGTTGTTATTTGTTTATACAAATTGCAGCATGCTTAATCATGCCACACATCTGTATAAGGTAACATACTAATGGTTTGTTCTCTCATTTGGATGAAACATTTTCTAAAAATAAGCTAGTACTATAAGTCTATAAAGCATAAGCTCATACAATAAATATTTAATGAAGAGTCTGTTAGGGAAAACTAATTGACACCAACTCATTAGAATTGGAAACTTTAAGTACAGATGCAGCACTATAGGCTGGTTGTATCTTGATCCTAAATGCTAAAGTCCTTTTGAGAAACTCATCAAGTGTTTATGGATAAGATAATATATCTTCCTCACCCTCCTAAGAAAGTATAATGACAAAATCATAGAAACACAGTAAAATGTCCCTTCGGGGACATCCGATAAAATTGGAGCGATACAGAGAAACACAGTAAAATATTATAAAAATGTTGTTTCGATACATAAGGGAGTCAATAATAGAAACTTACTGAATTGCTCATATTCTTCAATATTTAAGCAACTTCCCAGATTTTTAAATTGGTATATAATCTTACCATCATGAACGTGGTTATCTATTTCTGCTATAAAGTACTCCAAGCCACTGAAACTAAGGTTTATGTGAGTAATAAATGTGAACATAGTGAGCACAACTCAAAAAACTCATAACATGTCAATTATTATATGCTAACATGTCAAAGCTTGGCAGATTGCATGTCAGAAGCTGCACAAAATGACCAATTATTATTTCATGACTTATGCTACAAAGATCAAACTTTATGCTCTTTAAACATTTATTTAAGGTTTTCATTGCATTAGTGACTAAACTTTCAAAACATTGAACTAGGTAATTTTAAATTTTACTTTTGAAATGATTTGCGTTAATAACTCAATACCTACAAAAGTTATATTTATCCTTCTTTCCTCGGTCTTTTTTTTCAGGTATTAGTTTCTTTACATGAGGGATGCAAGGGCTTTGACAGGTTAGGATATAATAACGAGATATTATCCTGAAATAGGAGAAAAAAAGTTTGAAAATTCCAAAATAGGACTGTCATGTTTTTATTCCCAAAATGGGACTAATTATTACCATGTTTTGACAGTACCAGACTTCAAACATGACAATATTTTCCAAACTTGTCAGTAATTACTCCTACTTTGGGAACAAAAACATGTCAGTCCTATTTTGAAATTTTTAAACTCTTTTAGTCCTATTTCGGGAAGTTTCCCTTTATTTTAATGGGATCAAATAAGTCATATTTTAGAAGTAACTAGGTTAGAGATATTGAGGATACAAAATTAATATTTATTCCTATTTGTGCAATTATGTTTATACGCAATTTCTCTTAATATGATCTGTATGTAATGGGGAAAATTACCCTAATAAGACTAAAAGCTAACAACTTTCTAAAATCAGGACCACATACCACCGTAGGATTAAACATGAGAGTATTTGACCTTAATACCCTTATTTTAAATAACGTGTCATCTTCTGGGAAAATCAGGCACTGGTCTCCAATAGCAACAGCGACAGTGGCTCCTCTAATGCTCTGGAGTTCTGAATCGCGCCTCAGCTTCCTACGGCAACAGCAAACAAGCGGCGGCGATATGGTGACACCAATTCCCGACAGCGGCAGCAGTGGTGGTTTGGCCTTGAATTTCGAACAGTTTCTCTCGCCACCAGCAATTATCAAGTCTCTGTCATAGAGCTGCCACTCATGAATGATATTCATCTGCCGCAATAATGAGTTGAGTTGATCAATACGAAAGTAAATTGATTCTTGGTGCTGCTTGAGGATAGAAGGTCTTCTCCTTGCAAATTGACAAGAATTAAAAAAGAAAAAACAAGAGTTAATATACCTGTTGATATACTGATCTCTTTTCCTAAAGCTTCAATCGTCAATTAAACTAATGTATTGTATTTTAATGATACTAGTTTATAAGGGAATTGTAATACTTGAATGTATTGGAAAAAAGAGATAGGTTGGGAGAAATTTTATATCCGAAGTAGGCATTAATTAAGTAAAACAAGTCAATATTTAGACAATAAATAGACAGTAAAGATATAGAGCCTCTAAAGTAGTAACAATGCCAGATAAAAAAATGACAACAGTAATATATATTGGTAAAAACATCAATAATAAGCCATTCCATTAAATATCCATAACACATAATGACAGACTTTAGTACAAAAATATGAAGCAACTTGAAATTTGATAGATTCAAATGTTGAAATGAAATTTAGATATATTTCTCATGCATAGGTACAATACAATTCACATGAATATGAACATAAAAGTCTATTTTCTTTTGAATACAAAATAGATGTATGAGTACAATCAACAGACTGTTGTGTTCAATCAGCATTTCAGCAGCCTCATGTCTTCAAATAGACTCTTCAAATAGACTATGTGTAATCTTGTTTTTAGTGAAATATGAAATGCTTGATCACTCTTATTTAGTGTTGAGTTGATTTATAATGCTGGATTGAAGCATGCCATACTGTCCATAAGTAGACAATAACAAGTCTTTAATGTCTCGGGCACAGACATTAAATTCCTACAGTTAATATAAGTACAAACTTAATACAAAATTATGAACCAACTATGAAACTTGATAGATTCAACCGTTGAAACGAGATATGGATATATTTCCCATAGGTGGTACAATACAAATCACATGATATTCGCTCAATCAACGGCGACTTAACTTTCCCATATGGGTTGTTATTGCTGGTGGCCTCCTCAAGCAGAGTGACCACTGACCAGGGAACCCAGGCAAGACCTGCAAACACCAAATATATCCTCTTTGTTCAGTTCAAGGCGTTCCTCCTTTTCATAGCTTTTGCACACAAGATCCTTGACTAAGGGTTTGAGCTCGTTTCTGGCATTAGCATCACTGCAGGTGGTCACTGACAAAACAAGATCCCTAGCTAACTTTTGTTCGGAATCAAGAGATGTAAATCGGACGGTAAGTCTCGATGGTGACCATTGCCGCAACCATGAACACAAATGAAATGCTCAAGTTGAAAAACACGACAAGAACAAAGCTCTCGGAGGTTTTGCTAATAATTTCATACTCGTGCAATAACCTAAAAATGAGTATGCCAAGAGAAATATGGAGTAACAGTAAATAAAAGTCTATTAGGAAATAAAATAAAAAGAGTTAAGAAATAATAATATTAATAAATAGGTAACTAATTTACCAACATCATAGAGGATCCAACATGGAAGGTGCAAAGTTTGGTCTCAAAATGCTAAGAGAGAATAGTTTTTCTGCCAGCTTCCTGTGAGCAAAACAAAACCAAAAGTCTCACACACTTATTCAATGAAATAAAATGAAAGTGATAGGACATTGTGATTTGTGAATTTAAGGACTATGGATTGAAATAGGATTCTTGAACGACATTTATTATGTCCTCATTTCTTACACCTTGAACACTTTTGACGCTATACATTACAATACAAATTCTCTAGTCACACTAAATAGTTATCCACTCAAGTGTGAAGTAAATCCTTAAGATGTAATCATATCACAACAATCCTCAATGTTGACCCACAATTCCAATGCCATGAACATATATGAACTGCTCCAAGCGAAACTCACAACATAAACATACTTTGACTTTCAGATTAACAACATCACTTCTAGATGTTTTGTCCATCACCTTAAACTTAAACTTGCAAAACAACAGACAGACAGTATATAGACAGTAAATAGACAATAAATAGACAATACATTCTGATAATAGCATAATAGCAGAGCAGTAGTACAAAATAATATATATACAATTCACTATTTCCGATGACAAAATTACCTCGAGAGGCTGTCGAGAAACTCCGCAATGAGATGGGAGAGACGGAGGATGGTGGTGAAATGCCGGACATGGATGTTCCCTGGAACAAATCTGACAAGTAGTTTCCCAAATTATCCAGAGAATACCTCACCAGAGCCTCCATGTTCTTCTCACTGCTCAGCAATTCCAGGTATGCATCATAGAATTCCTTATATGCTACAAATTCTCTTGCTACTGCCAATTTTATTTCATCTCGGAGCTTCCCGTCAGGAACCAAATACGCTCTCTATTTCCGGTATGCCTCTTCAAAGGCGGCATTGAATTCTCTGAAATGTGCATCTATTTCCTCAATTGAAAACGATGGATCTGATCTATCTGGAAGAGATGAAATCACTTTTCCCCACGCCATAGCTTTGTAGTTTGCTATATACGAGCTCACCTTCCTGTCCAGATTCGACAGCGATTCATCACCTAGGAGACACTCGAGGAGGGAGCTTGACCTTATTCGCTCTGTGACGAACCGGAAATTGTTCGCTAGGAAAAGGTAAGATAGAGCAACGTCATTGCAGAGCCTGGATTTGGTGTCGAGTTTGCAGCTATGTAGCACCGATACCGGTACGCGGAAACGCGGAAACGTGGAAACGGGTACGGGGATACGTCAAAACAAAAAAAAAGTAGGATACGGATACGGGGCCATATTTATAAATATTAAAAGTTATGGGGGTGTATTTACAAATATTAAAAGTTATAGGGGTCTATTTATAAATATTAAAAATAGTTTTTTTTTTGAAAAAAAAAATATATATACATATAATATCTTATGATGCCTACCCATTCATTGCATTGAAACATTTTCATTTTTCAAGATACTTAGTAATAAATTCATAATATTTCTCATATACACTAGTGCATCTCGAAATATAAATGTAGTCAATAAGTCATTAATTTAAAATGAGAAATAAGTCAAACAACTATAATCTTGAAATTAAAAGTGCAAGTACCCAATTCGGAGTATAAGTTAATGACTTAATTCGGATATAGCCATATAGGCCCATTATTTGATTACAAAGTAAAATGTAGTTTTAGATTTTAATTTTTTTTTAGAATTTTATTAAGTAAATTTTGGGATTGTTTTTATAAAAAAAGTTGATACGGGTATCCGTCAGGATACGAGTATCGGAAACTTTCAAAAAATTACAAAAAAAAAGTGGAAACTTTTAAAAATTGCAGATACGGCCCGGGAACGTACGGTACGGGTATCCTAGAGTATCGGATACGGGAACGTATCGGATACGCCGATACGCTACCCTAGGGAAGTATCCGTGCTTCATAGGTTTGCAGAGAAGTAGTGTGAGATGCGATGAGATGGGAGAGACGGAGGACTAGGGAAGTTTTTTTTTTTTTTAATCTGGAATACTGAAGTGAAGGGTAAAAATGGTAAACAGTAATAATGTTTTCTAAAATAGAATTAAATGAATCACACGCATGGAATAAACATAGCTCAGTCCTACATTTGTAAAGTTTCTATGATTTGGTCTTATGAAGAGCTATTTTCTCTATGTAATTTGCTCCTGCCTAATCGTAGCAAATCGTGCACTTCCTCTTGCCGCTGAAGCTCCCCTGCCTTGCCGATTTTAGGGGGAAACAAAACAAATCTTTTCAAAGAGAAATGGAAAGCACCGCTGTTGATTCGAGTTTGCACCGCACTTTCAAATACTTACTAGCTACCGCACTAGAAGAAGATTATGTGGTTTGTGCTGTACAATTCCATCTTTTTGTGACATTCATATTGTTTTTGAGTAGAGAGGGATTCAGGCGAGTGTGCTTGAGGGAAGATATTATGTGGTATGGTTCTTCACCAGCAGGAGAAACTGAAGCTCAGCTTTTGAAAGTGGCCTGGATGACCTTCCCATTAGGGGTACTGGTCACTTTTTTTGCTTGTTTGATTGTATTCTGGTGGCAAGATCTGGGATTTTCCAGTCCTTATGGACAAGCTATCTTGATTAATGGTTTTGCTTGCATTCTTGAACTGCTGGCAGAACCATTCTTTATTTTGGCTCAAAAACTGGCTCTTCTCAAATTGCGGCTAATTGTTGAAATTGTTGCCACTCTTTCGCATTGTATAGTAACATATGCTCTCATCCTGAAGCAACCAAGCTTGGAGAAAGCAATTGTGTTTTCAATGTCACAGGTTGCTTATGGAGCATCTATTTTCATAGGCTACTGGGCTTACTTTCTTCTGTGCCAATTATACACAACTCGTGTTCTATTTCCGTTCCGGATAGGAAATACAAAAAACTATGATCAACTGATTGTGAACATGTGCATGAAACTTAATCTTCAATTGGTTCAGAAGTTGGTTCTTCAGGAAGGTGAAAAGATGGTCCTTGTATGGTTTGATACACCATATAACCAGTAAGTATATGGACTTGTAGACAAACTAGGGAGCCTAGTGGTGAGGCTGATTTTTCTTCCCTTTGAAGAAAGCTCATATGCAACGTTTGCAAGGCCTGCATCAGGAGATCAAGAACGGAAAAAGGAGAAATTGGGAAGGAGTCTGACAGATGCGCTGAAGCTTGTTTTGCTTATCGGTCTAGTTGTTATGGCATTTGGTCCAAGCTATTCATATTCCCTCATCAGATTGATGTATGGTAGAAAATGGAGCGATGGAGAAGCTACCAAAGTACTCCAATGTTATTGCCTTTATGTGATAGTTTTGGCCATGAATGGGACGTCTGAAGCATTTCTACAGGCAGTTGCAACAGAGAAAGAACTTAAACGGTCAAATGGTTCATTGCTTGCCTTCCCATTGATATATGTGATCATTAACATCTTGTTTATCAGATCAGCAGGGGCAATTGGATTGATTTTAGCAAACTCTCTGCATATGATCTTGAGGATAGTTTACTCAGTGATTTTCATCAAAAAGTATTTCAAGGAATCATCATCTTTTGCTTTTAGAGCTTGCATGCCTGGAGGTTATGAATTTGTGTTGGTTTCAGGAGTAGCCACCTTCATAGTTGAAAAGATGTACCTTAACCGAGACAACTTCTCGGCCACCTTTACCGTTCACTTCTCATTTGGTTTATTCTGTTTTCTTGTGGCCACTTTCATAATCTATCAAAAGGAGAGGCCTTTTATCGCGAAAATTCTACGCTTCCGCGAACACGCTGATTGAATGTGCTAAAGAACTACATCTTGGTCAATAGGGTTTGTGAAAAGTTCTGCTCTATTTCAAGATCAAGGAATCATAAGCACTGAGGATTACGAGCATTTCTGGTATACTATGCTCAGGGAGGGAGGTGCAATAGGGTTGGGGGGCCATTGCCCCCCCCCCCCCAAAAAAAAAAACTTTTTATTTTTTAATACTATTAGAGTATTAGTATTAGTCTATTAGATAAGTAGTTCATAAACTGCCTATGCGTAAGTTTTTTAATTACTTCGTTTCTGAATTGTGGAAGATCTTCAAGATTTCATTTGCAACTTTTTAGTACTTACTGATTTAACTATATATGGGTAGCTAGTTACGGAGTATGTGTTACGTAGTGCAATACAAGCAATATAGACTTTACTACAATATTATATATTAAATAAAAGTGACATATAGTATCATACTAGTATGATTTTAAGTGTATTACTTTAGTCATTTTAAAATAGATTTAAAAATAACATGCATGTATAAGGCTTTGATTCGAGCTGAAGTTATAATATGGAAAAAATAATGTGGTTCTAAAAATTTATGAGATACTACATATTTTTTTTTTGGATTGAATCTAATAAATTGGTCGACTTTGAGATAGGATAAAATTTGTCTTCAATGAATATTTGGATAATTGTATTGGGGAGTAATACATCTAATGTATGCAAACAATACTAAATATACATATCATATAGACTTAATTTTCTGTCATTTATTTTCCTTTCATATTCATTATGAAAGGAAAATATTCATTACCCAACATATCTTAATACAATACACAAGTATCATTTTCTGTCATTTTCCTTTCATACTCATTACCCAACATATCTTAATAGAATAATTTTAATTTAAAAAAATGAGCATCTCACTATCATTAATCTTAAATATTGATATATAGAGTTTTTTCTGACAAGCTCCTACAAATTCTTGAAGTATTCAAATAAGTCAATTATTTGATATCGTCATAGCTAGAAATTTCTGGAGTACTTTTTTTTGCGCTCAATCTCGCTCCCTATCATCAAACCCTGGCTCCGTCCCTGACTATGCTTGCTACCAGACGTTCACCCCAGGCCACACTTTTTATACTTCATTTGCCTTCCACACAATTATGTCACGGAATTCGTACAATGATATGTTTGTATTCAATCATCTTGAGTGTTGAACCTATCTAGTAAAGTAGATAATTTTTGTCTTTCAAGGGAAACTTGGCCCTCTGCACAATCTTAAAAATGCAAAACTATTTGTTTTGTGACTTGCAATAGTGGGCGGTTGAACCTATCTAGTAAAGTAGATAGTTTTTTATTTTCAAGGGAAAACTTAGCCCTCTGCATAATCTTAAATCTTAAAAATGAAAAAGTATTTGTTTAAAAAAATGGTTGTACTGTTGTCGTTGATATTGATATTTCTACATGTGAAGTTAGTAAGAAAAAAAGGAAACATGTGTCAAATAGGATTGGATGCAAAACTCTTTTAACTCTGAAATATGTTGGTAGTAATGGCTCGATGTTGAGTATGTGGTTTTGTTGATGACTAACCATGCAGCTGGAACGGGGGACAGAACCGACAGATCAGTTCCACAAAATACTTGGTCCCATAATTATTTATGTGTCTACGTGTGCATGTCCTTCATCGTATGATATTTTACTTGCATGAATACATTTCCATATTTGATTGGATATTTTGTTGAATGTATTGGTTCATATGCTTTATGGAACTACATCCCTCCAAAGAACCTGCATAAATGGCTAAACTTCAGTTCAAGAATTTGAAAGAGTTCACTTAGGCTTACAACAAGAAAGAATAGAAATAAGATTGTCCGTGTGACATACTGTATAAGGTTGAATTAGACACAGTACAAGAACACATACAAAATCAGATAGTTTTGATTTATATTAGACTTTTTCTTCGTTTTCCAATGTGAACATGAAATGGAAGATTCACTTTGGCCAGTTTGCACTTTCCAAGATTATAAGCAAAACAAGTTAAACCATATAAAATCTTAACCATATACATAATAGTATAATACGTAATAAAATACCTCTTTTGCTAAAAAGACCATTGTTAAACAGGCCACCCTTTCTCAATTGAAGAAGTGTAAGAAGAAGCTGCTGGTGCTCATGGTCGAAATGCAGCCGGACCTGTGAATCAATGTTAAAGAATAATGAATATATATCAGACTTGTAGCAATCATTCTTTTGATATAATCCTGCAAAACATCAATTAGTAAAGCAAACACTCAAAGAGAGCTAAGCCCTTTCCAACATAATTTTGATGTTTGTCATCATGAAAATAATAATGATGTATAGAACAAAGTAAACTCAAACTCACCTCAACACTATATATAGCCGTAACCTTGCCAGGAAATTGTCAATTTATGGTAAATGTGTATGAGCATGATTATGATTAACTAGATTTTAAGTACACAGTACCTATAACAAATTAAACACAAAAACCAAACTATTAATTAGTGAAGATGATCTGTGGCATATACTCCGGAGTATATATTATAGGCATGCGAATTACATTTTCATGAATCCATTCAAACAGACATACAGATTGAAGATGTAAACCAAGAGGGGGGGGGGGGGGGGGGGGCAAAAAAACCTCAACGAAGTTTGTTCTGGATGAGAATTTACTGGGATGAAACAGAACTATAAAATTCCTAGATCATATTGAAGATGTAAACCAAGAGAGGGAGGAGAAAAAACCTCAACGAAGTTTGTTCTGGATGAGAATTTATTGGGATGAAACAGAACTATAAATTCCTAGGAATGTGGTGCCCGACTGCAGATCTGTGTTCTCAATTGAAATAGAATCGTTGTGACTACACAGAATATTGCGTAGCTCAGGAGTCATAAGGTCTATATTCATTCTCCCATACACGGTTATCAACAACACTAAAAACCTCGTTCAAAATGTGGATCCAGAACCGACTATTCCTTATTCTCCGTCATTCTCAAGCTACGCGTGGACCAATACAGAACAAATAATGGTGCAAAATTGATGTCGTGGATTCTTCAAATTTGGCTTTGTGTTCTAGATTTGAATTAGGGATTTGAAAAACTGCATTGTAATATGTTGAGATGGAGTATCTCAGAGAGGTGGTTGCACTGTGATTGAAGTGAAGCTGAGAGGCGGTAGTGCGGAGATTGGGGTGAAGTCGAGATGCGGTGGCGCTGTGATTGAGGTGATCAAAGTCGAGAGAGCTGGTTGAAGAAATTGATCTACAGAGATGGAAGATGGACCGAAGCTGCAAGGAAACAAAAATAATAGAGTTTGTAGGAGATGATCGGAGATGTGGAACCTCGTGACTTTAGTCTTTAGCCTTCTCACACGTCTGCCATTTTTATCGTTCAATCGAACTTCTCCTATGTGCAGAGCTTCTAGGAAGTATGAACGACTAGATGTAGAGTTTCGAGAGAGGCGGGGATTTGGGCTATTTTTGAAATATAAAGTTGTAGAGTGAAAATTTGAAAGTTGCAAAATGAAAAGTAATTTTGAGACGGACATAAATGAAATGCGAGAGAGAAAAGTGTCATGTTCGGGATATTTCCACTAAAAAAAAGTTAAAAACTGCAGTGTATGCTCTCCGCTCTCTGCACTTTCTGGGCTCCACTTCAGTTTTATTTTTACTTCTTTAATATTAAAGCCTTATATAATTATTAGTTAATACTTAATAATTATTGTGATTATTGTTCGAAGCATAATTAATAGTATCAACCAATCTGTTTGAGACGTAGCAATGGAATAGTTGACTAGAACTGCGATTAGGGGTGGTTTTACTTGGATTGTAATCTGTCCAGATCAGACCAGACTTGAATTGTTATAAAAATACAAAAAGACCAGACATTATCAGACAAGTTAAGACCAGACCAGCAAATTACAATCCAAGTAAAAAACATCCTAACTCAACTACTCAAAATTTTATATATTCATCTAATCCTAGATTATTATTGCCTTATTAGTATTATATAATAATGTAAGGAGTATTCTCTAATCTCTAATATTTCAATTACTTTACATTTAAACAAGTAGTGTAGATTGTAGTTTGTATTAATTTCACATGGAAACACATTAGTATTATAATAGTGTAAGGAGTATTCTCTAATCTCTAATATTTCAATTACTTTACATTTAAACAAGTAGTGTAGATTGTAGTTTGTATTAATTTCACATGGAAACACATACACATAATATTGTGAAATGTGTTAATTTACGTGAGATAAAGTTATACGGAGTATTTTATATTTGCGACTAATGGCCCCGGAAATAACAATAGTTAAGATGTTTTTACATGTAGTACACTATTAGTGTTATATATGTACTGTAGACTGTAGTTTGTATTAATTTCACATGGAAACACACACAAATATAATATTGTGAAATGTGTTAATTTACTTGAGCTAAAGTTATACGGAGTATTTTATATTTGCGATTAACGGGCCCCGGAAATAACAATAGTTAAGATGTTTTCAGTACACTATTAGTGTTATATATATATATATATATATATATATATATATATATATATGTGCATACACTGAGCTCCGATGCCTAGGTCCGCTACTGGTTGTTCAACCACAAAAAACTTCCAAGTACAGTTCGTGTATGTTTTTTTGGCTAAAAGGTAAATGTTACTCTTTTACGTTTCCTTTAAATCTTTACACTTTCCTTTTTGAGACGTCTCATTTACTCCTTTACGTTTCTTTTTTAGACAACTCATTCTACATTAAATATCATAACTATACCCTTCATTACCCACCCACTTTTTACATTTGAGTGGATAACATTAATTCCTCCCAAAAGTCAAAGGGCATGCAAAACATTTGTTCTTCTAAGATATCGTGTCAAAAGCAAACGTCAAGTCCTATCCGGGACGGAGGGAATATATATAATAGATAAAGATTATAGAGTTAAAGGGGTGATCCCCAAGATTATCCAAAATACAAGGCATGCCTGCCTAAGAGTGAAATTGGGGAAAAGTCAAACACATGCCTCAATAAAGAAAAAATCACAAAACTGCTAACAACCAAATTAAAAGTCGATCATGGTTGAGGGGTATATTTTATTTTACTAGCAATTCTTCAACTAAGGTAACCCCTCCTACAAATAGGCCGGGTTGTATTCCATGCTTTCAAAATGGAATAAATGGTGCATGCAAACGCGAGTCTAGCAGCCTTGCTAGTGAGTCGAGCAACTCTAAACTCCTTTTTAATCCATCAAAACTGCACTGTGTAGTGTAGCTAGATAAAGTTCTTCTCATACAAGAAAAAAACGTTTTTTGCGTCAACAAAAAGTCGACGCAAAAGAGCAAAAGTTGACGCAAAAAACGTATTTGCGTCAACATGTCGACGCAAAAGGGTTGACGCAAAAGACTGGGCGCAAATAATGTTTTTGCGTCGACAATGCGTGACGCAATTAATAAAATATTATTCGCGTCGACATATGGACGGAAAAGATCTTCCGGAAGTAATCATGCATAATGTTGACGCAAAAAAGTGAGGATTTATTTGCGTCCAAAAGTCGACGCAAATAATACCATTTTTTGCGTCCACATGTCGACGCCAAAGCTTAACAGTCAGTTTTTTTAAAATACATTATTTGCGTCGACATTGTGACGCAAATAGCACTGTACAGGTCTGAAATTACACCACATTACCTATTGCTATGCATACAAAACTTTTATTAATAAACCAATAGTACCACAATCTGTCCAAACACAACCAATGTCAACAACACATAAATTCATTCAATATCCATAGTAAAAGTGAGTTATCCTACAACGGAGTTTCATTAAATCGTTACCAACAACATCACAAAATGTAAACATAAATAAATTCATGTTCATCTTAACCAAGTAAAAAGCATATTCAACTCCATGTTATCAATCTTGATCATCTTCATCGAGATTCTGATCAGGTTGGTTAGCACTTGATGTAGAAGGAACATCATTTGCGGAGCTGTGTGAAGGAAGTTGAAAGCCAGGAATAAATTGTTGTAGGGCACGAAGAATCAACTCCTGATTTGCTTGCATCAACTCTTGATTTGCCTTCAATTCACTTATTTGAACATCCCGGTGGTCTTGGAACGTTGAAGTAGCGCCATCTTCCATTCGTCGAGATGCACCCTTTGATAGGGTAGGACCCACTCCGCTTTGGCGTCCGCGATATCTTCTCAAGTTCCGATGCATAATATCAATCTCATTTATTGAAGATGATGACCCTGTTTGTCCTAGCTGTGTTTGGTACTCTTCACTCATTTGAGTCTATCAAATTACAATTCATATAGTTACATATCATTAGGATTAGAATTAATAAAATGTTTTTTAATATACTTACATATTTTTCATGTGCTTCTTTTGTTCTCCATTCGCCACTACGAGTCAAACGTTGATCTTTCCAATTTTCAAGAGCTGAGTACTGCTCACCAGTTTCTGGATCATCCTGTTTAATATTCATTATAATTGTCAATACCTAAAATAACATGAATGATCAATAAATAACATTAACATTAAATTAGTAGCTTGAAATTTTAACATTGGTCGATCAGTAATCACTACCACAACAATAAGGATTGTACTACTTAATATAATCTTTGAAAAACCTGCAAAACTAAAGCAGAAATATATGACTAAGCGATATACATAGTGCTTATTAAATATATACTAGAGATAAACTACATACAAATTAAGGCCTTAGAGACACCCCGAAACAAAACTATACTACAAAAAAAAAACACAATGAATCATACAAAAAATCCGCACCATACCTAAAAAATGACACCCAATTAAACTACAATATAACATAAAAACTGCCAAGGAAATTACAACATACATTCATATGTCATCAAATACCAATAACAAATATATGAAATCACCCAATCACTGCCACATATCACAACTCAAAATGAAATAACAAAGACTCATTTCTTACTTTTTCGTGCATGTATTGGGCATATGATTTTCTCCCATGTCCACTTTTATCATCACTTGCTTCTCTATTTTGTAGGTTTTTCGAAGAAATTTCCTGTAAATATGAAACTAAGTCAGAAATTAGAACTTTAATTGTATAATAAAAAAGGAAATATACTCATACTAAACCTTGAACTTTGTAGAATTGAATCTCTCGCAACACTTCTGCCATTGTTCATCACTTCGTACATTTATAGGTCTCTTAGCTTGCATTCCTCCTTTGTTCTTGAAATAAACAGATAAATCACTTTTCCAATCGTTGTAGGACTCTCGAGCATCTCGAATCAATACTTCATCAAAAAGCTTGTCATTATCGCACTCAAACCAGTCCTACAGTATGTAAAACATGATCACTATTAGAAATCAATTAATTTAAATCAATAAACCGAACATGATCACCATTAGAAATAAATAAATTTAAATCAATAAACCCAACAAGAAAAAAGACAAGTTTTTTATAATTACCAACATCCTATGTCGAATCATAGCTTTTTGACAGGCTGGAACATCGTCCCACTTATCGTAGAACGGATCACAACAGTCCCGAGTGTGTATGCCTATTGCGCTTGACCACCAAGAAGCTTTTGGCCCTACTGCCTTCCATGTTTTCCTTGCCGAATCAAATTGAACTTTGATCTTTCCATCTTTAGCTACGGCTAACATAATGTTGTTTCCCTTGTCTGAACCTCTCCCTTTCCGCTTTGTTTTCTGTGTTTCTGAACCTATAAAATTCATTAAACAAAATATAAGTTAGTATTGATCATGAATAATTTATATTTTGAAAAGTGTTAACAATTTTGATTGCATTACATCATACCTGACTCACACGAAGATGGCACTCTATGGGGATCTCGTGGAGGTTGGGATCCTCCACTTGAACCCGCACATGTAGCTATTGTTTCTGCCATAAAGTACACCTATATATGTGCATACTTATGTAGGGATATTTTAAATGTAAATCAAAAATCACCGGAAACCAATAACCATCAAAATATATGTAAAACCATTAAGTCATTTAGTCACGTGAAAAAACATCTAAACAAATAAAGTGCATACAAATGATCCAAACATAATTAACAATAAAAACCCTCGTATTTAATCATCGTCACTACTAATATATTTGAGGATCTCATCATCATCATCATCATCATCATCATCATCATCAACATCATCATCAGCATTGCCATCATCATCATCGTATTCATTACCACTACCATAACTTAAAAACTCACTTTCACCATCTTCATCATACTCATCTTCTTCGTTGATAGTATAACCACCTTGAAGATTCTCATATAGAGTAATCACATCAGGTGAAGCGACATTTGGTGAAACATTTGTGTCATTCCATAACATAGAGTCTAAGTCTGGTACTTCAACATCCAAATCAATACCCGAAGACTCAACATCTTGGACAATACACATATTATCTTCTTGATCCGGGGGAAGGTCCCAAATGTGTCTATGCCCAAAATGTTCAACAACTCTCCATTGTGGGCCATTGTAAAGGTCCTCAACATAAAACACTTGCTCTGCTTGAGATGCAAGAATAAAAGGCTCATTTTCATACCAAAAATCCTTGATGCATATGCTCATCTTATTCTTGTACTCTTTCGTTCCCTTTCTTTTCCCTCGCCGGTCTAAGCTTGTGTTGTACCACTTACATTTGAAAAGAACAACAGAATTGTTACCTCCGTAACTCAATTCGTAAATGTCCTCTAATTGTCCGTAAAACACTTCATCATCTAACCCCTTCACAGATATTCCACTATTTTGAGTTGATCGGTTCATATCCCGACGGTGAGTCAAAAACTTTACTCCATTAACTATACATCCAGGATAACTTTTGAACGTCGGACTAGAACGAAAAGCAAGTGAAACCAATTGTTTGTTCACTTCCGGCGTTGAACACTCTTGGAGGGAAAAGATCTAAACAGATAAACATTTATTAGTTATCAATGAAATTGCACCAAAAAAAATAATATTAATGAAATTATGGATATACCTTCCTTTGAAACCATTCTGGAAACTCCTTAAGTTGAATTTCATCCAAAGAACAGATGGTGTTCCGCAAACTAATCACCTCTTTGTGCTCACTGTTCATCATGTAATTATAATGTGAATAAAGAAACAACATATAATTAGTACGCAAGTATAAATACTTTTAATCACTTACTCAATATACTGTTGGACTTCTGGGCAATTCTGCAAAATGTACCACTCTGCTCTATTTCGCATAGCATAGTCCAGAGTTATTAGAGACATTTTTCCGATAGGACGGGTGCGAGATTGAAAGATAGATAAACTTCCTGCCGTGCTAACATCACTTTCAACCCAATTCCTCTCTAATCTGTTGAATCTCGTCTCAATGTCACTCAAATACATTGAGCAAAATGACAATGCTTCATTTGCAATGTAAGCTTCAGCAATGGACCCTTCTGGACGTGCACGTTTACAAGGACAACTTATATTTCCTTCTTTATTCACAAAGTCTTTTGCATAGTTTATAAAACCTTGTAAACCCTTCCAATACTCTTCCGATAATCGATTCTTTATATATATCCAACTCTTATCTATCGGCATCCTCACCTCAAAGAGAACAACTTCAAAACTCTATCAATACATTTATCATACAAGGATTAGTGAATGAGTTTAGTTTATAAAATGAAATGAAAACACTCCTTAAATGTCAATGATTTATAGTTATTTGAAAGTTAGAATTAATATAATACGTATTTATTCTCAAAGTAAATCTTTTTTACTCCTATTTAGCAATAAAGGGCTAGTTTTACTTTTACTTAATGTTTCCCTTTCACATAGAAGCAGTTTATTTAATCTCATTAAACATTATGTATTTTTTTACTTGGTTGGAAAAAAAATCTGCAAAAAGAACTACAGAACACAAAAAATAACTTCAACCCCATTCAAAATATAGCTAAACAAAACAAACTAACAAGTAATTGAAAAAAACAGCCGTAAAGACTGCAAAGAAATCTGTAAAAAAAAACATATCAAGACCAACAAAATGCTGCCCAAACAAAATGTAACTTGAAAGTTCTTTCAACCTTTCCAAAGTCCAAAATTACTTAATTTTTAAGCTGAGGCTATGAGATGAATAAAACAACTTGAGGTTTTTAATTAAATTACAACGTAATAGATTCTAAAAAACTAAAATGATCTCAATCACTATCATGAATACTACTCCATTTAGAAAAAAGAAAATAAGTTAAGTAAACAAAAGCAGTACCAAACCCCAAGTCATGCAAGTTTAAAATCTACAATTTACTAGGAAACTTAGAGTATTAATAGACAAAACAAAATAAAAAATAAAAAAGTAGAACTGGAGCATATTGAGAAATTATATTCACATACTGAAAGCAATAGTGGGAGCTGAATTTACCCACATTAGGATTCCAGTGCATTAATAACACACAAAAAAAAAAACAGAGAAATGAATAGTAGGAGTTGTCTAACTAGTTGAAAATTCACATAAGTATACATAAGTCAATTTACATAAGTACACTTTCTTTAAGCTGACAGAGAGGATCATAGAAATGAATAAAATGACCAGAATGTTACAATGAAAACAAGAGCAATTTGAATGTCAAACAATCTTTTAAATTTCAAAAGGGGTTAGAAAGAGGTTAGATAAGAGAAGGATGTAATTATTTGTTTTAAAGTAACACCCACTTACCCAGCCCGCACTTTAGAAAGTGTAAAAAGTTTGATGATGAGCTGGGAAAGTTTTGAAAGATAGATGAATAATTGGAATAGGTTAATATCATAGCACACTTAAAACCTGATAAGTTAAGGCTTAAGACAATGACACATAAATAGGTACTTTTGATTTTGCAAAGAAGCTAAAGAGGGAGCAGACAATTCAAGTTTTTATTTTCATCGTCTCATTAATTTACAAACAGTGATGAAAAGTGGGAAAATAAAAACATGATAGGTTGGGACGTAAGTCTTCATGAAATGAGTGATGAATGACTATGGCATTTAATTGGATGTACCAAATATTTATCCATGTAAACACTTTACACCATAAAATTGTCAAACTCAAATTATAAAGACAAAACAAGTAAAAATATGATGATTAAATCTGAAAATATAAACAGAGTGAGAGGTTACCTGGGGGTTGATTCTTTGTTATGCATAAACAGAGAGTGAGAGATTACACCCAAAGATTTTTTTTAGCATCCTCAATCACTAATTATTGGCAAAGAAAGATAAACCAAAGCACCACTCTTGCACCTTAAGAAATAACACAAACACCTGTGGATTGGAATGTGTCTTAAGATTAGACCACACATTTCAAACTCTGGCACAACTAAATTGGTATGATGCACAGATATGGAAAATGTAAAACCTATGGCATAGACATATGTGAGATGTTATGAGATATATATAGCTCTAAAGCTTAGAAGCTAAAGTGCAGATATATCACATTATAAGAGGCAACAATGTCACCTTGAAATTTCAGCACACGCAGGACAGTCTATCTCCCTTTGTAGAGGAACCTGCTGCACAGTTTAATCATAATAATGTTGACAATAATCACAGCAGTTACTTGTACATACATATACTTTGTAAGTAGTTATTCATTTTTAACTTAGTTTTTTCATTTCAAATTATCTAATACTTGACCATAGATGCAATTTAAGTTTTAAAAAACTCCATAATCTATTTTAAAGGAGGGTGGAGTGCATGTTACTTAAAAAACTCCATAAAAACGGCATTCATTGAGTTTGAATGGGTTTTATACTACGTATTTCAGATCTAAAAAAGACAAAATAGAAAATTAGGGCAAAATTCCATGAATGGATGAATATAAATAGATTGATTGTGTGAAATACCATTCGATTTCGTCATTCTCGAAAAAGTATATGGCAGATTTGTATTTCCTATTGTTTGGGAAAATGGAAGAAAACGACTGTTCATCGGTGTTCTAAGTCAAAACCATTAGTGTATATACCAGCTCTTAGGAAGGAGGAAGACCATTACCTGAGAATCGTAGGGAGCTGAGAAGAACTCTTCCGGCCAGCTCTCAGGAAGGAGGAAGACCGTGTAGTTGTTTTGTCCTGCCCTAATCGATAGAGAGTGTATTCGCCCTAAGTCACCAGCCGGCCAGTTCTTTAAGTGTATTTCAGTATTAGCGTCAACCCGTAGACGCTATTGTCTACTCGTTTTTATATTTTTTTTAACATTTCGTTGTTGCGTCAACTCCATCGACGCTAATATTATTAAAAATACCGGGATTCCGTTTTAGCTACAACGTGTTGACGCAAATGGTTAAAATTTGGAACTTCCAACCCGTTAAATATTTGGGTTCTTTTCCGTCCACATGTCGACGCAAAAAGAGTGTCTTTTGTGTCCACTCATGTCGACGCTAATAATTTGGACGCTAATGATACTTTTTGTTGTGCAAATAGAAGCAGTCATCGTACATACATAAGAAAAACAAATTTTCCACAGTTTCAATGTGATCTGTACAAAAAAAAAACATCTTCTTTCAACATCAATGTACCACAAACCTTAAGTCGTAGATAACCTATTTCCAAAGCAGCGCCACAAGATAAAATAAAAACCTAGGAGTAATGTAACTCTTCCAAATAAAATTCGTCCAAGGTCTACTAACCGGCTGACCGCTTTGCACCTGAAAGCTAAGGCTGAAAGCATCATAAAGGGTGGATGACACCAACTTTCCATTTCTACGGTTGACTCCAAACTTTGTAATAATAGCCTCCTAGCTGCCAAGATATTGTAAAAGAATGCCTTTTAGGCTTTTAATTTGTACATCTTCTTCAACAAAGGGGAATCCCAATACTTGGAACTCAGTTCGTATATTAGAGGCTACAACATGGCCGCATGCATCTTTCCCTCTTTTGACGTGCTACCCTTCGTACAAAAATATTAGTAAGCACGTAACGTGCTCAAATAAACGAGCACGTTGGATTACGTGGAACATGGTCCCCAGGCAAAGTTAATAAAAAGAGTCCTGGTTGATGCCGTACGTGAGTCTCAGGTCAAAAGAAAAAGCAGTTAACCATCATATAGGTTAAATTTATACTCCGCTTTCTCTCGCCGTTTCACGCTCAGATCATCTCACTCTGGAGAAAATATTTCACACACCGTGAACGCAAACATGGACGAGGACGGCATGCTTTCTGGATGTGGAGATGAAGCAAATACTCCATCGACAATCTTACAAAACAATGAAGGTTGGGTTTGATTTTGAGATAATTTATAGAAAAATATGCTTAGTGCCATATATTCTTCGTAATATATATGTCCTCTTCTGCTAATATTTTTTTGGTCGTTATAATATATGTGTGTGCGTGCGTGTGTATATATTTGATACAAGAACAAAAAAAAAAATTAGACTTGCGAAGTTTTATGATCGTAGATGACTTAATTTCTGCAAGAAATATCATGCATGTTTAGTCTTCCAGTTCACTGAATGAGAAATTATTAAGTAATTTATATTGTGTGTGTATATATGTATATATATCACTGTGTGTGTGTGTATATATATATATATATATATCTTTGTCCAGTAATGCTATATAGAATTTTATATACTAGTAGAATAAATATGCATACAATTTAATAGCATAAAAACAGTACTTAGGGTATATTGGTAGAAGATGCGTACTTATATATACAACAAGCATCAATCAAAGGAAAAAACTAACATAAATCCACCAACATTATTTTGTTAATTATATATATATATATGTATGGAGGAATGATCCTGTCTAGCCGGAGGGACAAGATCTTCCGTCCGGCCGCCGCCGTTTGGGGTGGTTCCCGGTGGAATTTTTTGATGAAAGTTTTATGAAATGTTCCTCATCAAGTCTAGTTTATCCACAAAAAAGTTCAGCTAAAAATTCGATCGGGAAGACAGTCAAATAATTTTTTGAAGATAATTGCGCCAAATTAAACATATAAAACGCAGTTATGTTTCAAAAAATTATTCGACTGCCTTCCCGATTGAATTTTTAGCTTAAATTTTTTGTGGATAAACTAGACTTGATGAGGAACATTCCATAAAAATTTTATCAAAAAACTCCACCGGGAACCGCCCCAAACGGCGGCGGCCGGACGGAGGATCCTGTCCCTCCGATTGGACATGATCTTTTCCGTATATGTATGTATATATATGTGTGTGTGTGTGTGTATATATATACATACATACATATATACTTACGTGTAGTATCAGTTGAAAAAAATACAAACACAAACATTATAGTAGTATATACAAGTATTATGTTTTTTGTGTGTGTTATACATTATACAAGTATGTGTATGCTATTTAAAGTTCACTATTCAAAGGAACTAAGATTTCCTGTAAGATTCACTAATAAGATGCACCATTAACTTATATTATACGTAGTATGATAGTATATATTTATATAATGTTTATTTTTAGCTTGTTAATTTAATGTTTGAAGCGATGATTTTTTTAGGGGAAAACGATGATTTTTGTGTGTTATTTTAAAATTTGTATGCAGATCTTTTCTTTGATGTCACACCTAAAGTTGGTCAGCAATTTCATTCACTAGATGATGCTCACTCCTTCTATAATGCATATGCAAAGTTGTTGGGTTTTGGTACTAAAATAAAGAACTCAACCACTAACAAAGCTGGAGTTGTAACATGGAGAGCATTTGCATGTTCCAAGGAAGGGAAGACAAATGTGTCTTCGCGTAAGAAAAACAAAACTACAAATGAAAGAAATCGGGGTCAAACCAGGTGTGGATGTCTTGCTAGAATGCATGTTTCCATGAATCATAAGGAAGGTGTGTGGGTTGTGTCACTGTTTGAGAAGATCCATAATCATGATCTTGTTAGTCCTAGCAAGACACATTTGATCCGTTCTCATCGAAAAGTTTCTTCATCAAAAAGAGCATTGATTGATGAGTGGGGAGATGCTAATATTGAGACACATACACAAATAAGGTTGTTGGAGAATGAAGCCGGAGGTCTTTCTTCTATGGGGTGCACGGAAACTGATTTATACAATTATAATGCATCATTGAAATCCAAATTCAATGGGATTGATGTGAAAACAATGATCCACGGATTCCAGACAGAAAAACAAAGGAATGGTGACTTCTTCTACAAATTTGACATTGACAGTGAAAAAGTTCTTACAAGATGTTTTTGGGCTGATAGTGATAGTAGAAATTCGTACATGTTTTTTGGTGAAGTAGTTGTCTTTGACACTACATTCAATACTAACAAATACGGATTTTACTTGGCTCCAATTGTCGGTGTTAATCATCATCGTCAAACTACGGTTTTTGGTTGCGGTTTGTTGATGGACCAATCGGCAGAATCATTTCGTTGGCTTCTTTCCACATTTATAGAAGCTATGGACCATAGGCCCCATCCTAAAGTTATTATAACAGACCAGGATGCTGCTATTGCTCGAGCTGTCGCTGATGTGCTGCCGAATGTATCACACCATCATTGCTTGTGGCATATACTTAAGAAATTCCCTGAAAAGATGAATGTGTCCAGCCCCTATTATACACAACTTCACAAAGAATTGGTTGACATTATAATGCACTCAGCGACTACCAGTGACTTTGCGGAGCGGTGGACCGAAAAACTTTTGTTACCTGAGTTGATTGAAAATAAGTGGCTCGTTGATATATATGAAGCTCGAGAGAAATGGGTTCCGTCTTTTGTCAAACATATTTTCTGTGCTGGAATGTTAAGTAGTCAGCGTGTTGAAAGCACACATGCTTTTTTCAAAAAATATGTGAACAAGCACTGCACTGTCAGCCAATGTGTAACACGTATTACTCGAGCAATTGTGCGTCAAAGGCATCGTGAACTAATTGCTGATCATCGAGATCGAAACGAAGTTCCAAAGTTAAAATCAAGTTATCTAATGGAAAAACAAATGGCGAAGATATACACAAAGGCCATATTCTGTAAGTTTCAGAAAGAGTTGGATGCATGTGCGTTATACACCTGCCACCAGATTTCCATCTCAACAAATACTAAGGTGTATGATGTGATACGATGCGAAATTGATTCAACTTCTACGTTTACAAAGAGGCAGGTTACGTATGATATGTCATTGGATTTTGTGTCATGTAGCTGTAAAAAAATGGAGTTTATAGGAATTCCTTGCCGACACATTCTGATATGGATGAGGCTCGAACAAGTTTTGTTATTGCCAGATCGCTATATTCTTCACCGTTGGACAAAGAAGGCCAAGATGAACCCTCTTTATCGACCCACCAGCAATTCATTTGTTGGGAAAAAATTATGGGCGAGACGAGTACAACTAAGATTGTCTGCATTCGAGGTTGTTGATTCAGCATCCCTGACTGAAGAGAGAAGCACCTATTTGGCCGGGGTTTTGAAGAATGCTATGGAGCACCTAGCACAAATGGATGATGGGGGAGGTAATACAGGACAACAATCTGCATTGTCAACTGAATTGCCCAATGTTCTTGTGAGAGATCCGAAAACGATAAAAGTTAAAGGTTCAGGGTCACGCGTTAAACATCCATCTGAAAGGGCTAAACGTTGCAGAAAGTGCAAGAAGACCGGTCATAATGCCAGATCATGTCAAGTTTCACGGACAGAGGGGTGAATACAGACAATATACATTTTACTAAGTATTTCATTTTTAATTGTTAAGTGTGATAAAGTATTATTGTGGTAGTAATTTGTTTGATTTTATTTGCAGTTCACTAAACGTTAATCAGGGATTTGATCTCAATCTACCTGGTTCAAATGCTGAAATCTAATGAAGAAATGTTTCCATGCAACCCAATCTAGAAGTTACTATTTGAATGAGTACTCCTACAAGAGTATTGGTGGAAATATTGCTTTAGTGAGAGCTGGCATTGCTTCTTCTTTTTTTTTTTTTTTTCAAAATCTAAACTTCTTGGGTATCCTAAAATGCTCTGTTCTGTTCAAGAGGCATTGTCATTTTAGAGGCAACAGACTGATTTTTTTAGTTGACACTAAATATCACATTTCCAATTTTGCACTCAATTAATTTGTATCCTTTTAGTCTAGTTACAGTTTATTATTCTCATCCAGAAATATTTCATTGATTAAAGTTCATTCTTGATGGTTTTCTTCCACCCATGGT